GCAGTGACCAAAATCAGTTAATAGTGTATGTACAGTATACAGTCATAATTAGGTCAGATGATGTGATAGCAGAAACAAACAGCTGCAATTTTCGTTTACACGACATACAAGTGCCATATACAAATTTGTGTGTTTCTTGCGACTAATTTTAAGGAAGGGAAATTCAACTGGCAATAATATGTTATGTCCAAGTTTGTAGCTATTTGAATGGATCTGATTTAAGCAATGGAAACTTGGGAAATTCCTTTCATTGCTTTAAAAGAAGTTTGAAATAGCCCCTGTCACACTGTACCCAGTTTCGTCATTTTTAGGACGAAATTTGTTGTTATTTGAAGCCCCACCCTGGCTTTTGCCAGGGGCCGCAATATAGGCAGGCCAAAAATATGGCCAATTGTCTGAACGCGGTTTCTGGGACCTCTCCACGGCGATCCTCATCCACATGGTGGCACTTTGTGTCATCGGGTGTTTATCGCTTGTATGATGTCCTAGTGGGGTAGAAAGTCAGTCAGTCAACCTCTGTCACTAACCAGCGCGGGGTTAACAAATGTAATATCGCCACCGCTAATATCAAATCAGGGATGTGAATAAACAGTCTTTGGATTACAGTTTTAAAGAACCGCAGAAATGTATCTGGATTATGTTTCCCACAATCTGGTCATTTTTTCTAGGTATCATAAAACACTATCCAACATGTCAATACAAATAGTATCGCATGTCATTTAGAGGATTTCCCAAACTAACGCAAATACTTACTGGTTGGTGTTGGTTTTATAAGAATGTTTACGTAAAGTAGTTTCCCAGTGCTATCTCAAAACTTATTATTATAATTTATAAACATGGTTGTCAATACTGATCTCGAACAATATGCCGTAAGGGCCCACAGGTTGTGTAATTGATAATCTTCGGCATAACCCTTGTGGGACGCAATTTTTTTTGGAAGCCCCACCCTGGCTATTGCCAGGGGCCGCAATATAGCCTAACGGTTGAACGCGGTTTCCGGGATCTCTCCACAGATGACCCTCAACCGCATGGTGGCACTTTGTGTCACCGGTTGTTTATCGCTCTGTGTAATGTCCTGGTGGGGTGAAAGCTACTTACTTACTAGGCGTATAATGGACACTTCCTGTGCCAGTAGAGCGACTTCTCTTTCACTCAGAGATGAACAGACTTCAAGGAATCGTCAGTTAATTATGTAAATGTAGGCTGAAATATTTACCGCTGCCGTAGAAGGAAAATGTTACGTATATGCAGCGATCAATATTTGTGACCATGTGCAGACAACCCTGTTCTGCCATTACATCTGGCTGGGGACCTGAAGGTCGTCAGTTTAGGTCCCGACGGAGTCGGACATTTTTCTTCTTCTTTCAAAAATAACATTTCCCCGTGTGTGGTCCGGGGCCTTGTTAAAGGGAAAAACAAGAATAGACCCACTGCCTACCCTAAAGCATGTCGTAAGAGTCGACTAGTTGGGAGCTTTCTTCAAAGCCGGAGTGCATCTGCCTGAGAGGCAAGGAGCCAGAAGTCTGCATACAAATGAGTCAGATCTGTAAAACGGATGCCCACGCAAAACTCAGGTTCTGGAATAGGACTGGAGTCCACAATTGAATCAACAATCAGAACTTTCTGCCAGAGTTTACAGCTAATTGGTTGCAATGTCAACCCAGCCTTAAATGGCTATCAGATACAGCCATGGGAAGTAAAGGCGACCGGTGGGATGTTGACCACATCATCCACCGAGTGCATTTTGGTCTATACAACACAGGTCTAGCTCATTATGCCCAATACGCGTGACGGCGTGGAAAAGGGTCCTTCACCTTTACTTTGATTACATTTGGCAGACATCTTCAGTGCAGTAACGGAAATGTGTGATCTTGTGTATTCTTGAACGACTCACTTTAAAATATGCGTGAAACTATTGGCATCTTGTAACATTCGTTAGGGATAACGGATGTAGTCAGTGGGAATGGGTGACAAATGCTATCAACAACGATGATAAAGACTCTTTCTCTGTGGCGACTTCTACCACATACTCAACAAAAACACTTAGAGAACGATTTATGCAACTCGGCTTTTACTTTGTCACGATATCTACCATAGAAAGACAATAAAACTAGATAGATTCTCCAAAGATATCTAAGCTATTACAGCGACGCCCCTACTCAACGCCCACTCTTCTATTCGGCTAAGCAACACAGTTCTTAAGTTTTAGCTATCCATTGTGAGAAGGTGAAAGAGATGATGGTGAGTGAGAAAGTGAGAAACACCATTTTCTCTCTCTCTCTCTCTCTCTCTCTCTCTCTCTCTCTCTCTCTCTCTCTCTTCTTCTTCTTCTTCTTCTTCTTCTCTCGTTTCATCGGTCTGCCTTGTACTCTACTCCGATTCCACCCTTTTGTGTATCCGGTTTTCGACTCTGTCTGCCATTCTCTCTACATTCCCAAACCACCGCAGTCTATCAGAGGCTATGATGGCAATGATGATTATGAATTTCATTGTTTTTTCCTGTTCTTCATTTTCAAATGTCTGTATCTTTGATGAGTCCAAAAATTCATCATAAGAATATACCTGGTTCTCCAGACTGATGGTTCAAGCGTGGGATCGACACTCTAATCTTCAGTTCCGACTGACTGACTGACGTTCAACGCCACCAGGGCCTCACAACGAGTGACTATCACCCGGTGATACAAAGTTGAGGATCACCTGGACACAAGTCCCAAAAACCAAGTTCAACCGTAAGGTTATATTTAGGGCCCCAACAACAGCCGGAGTGGGGTTTTAAAAGGACAAAACAATTACGTCCTACATTAGGGCGGGTGGATTTAAACAGACAACGACACTGAAACGTTCAAGGACTCTTGAGACTTGGAACATGGAATAATTTATACATGTACACAAATATATTCTTTAATGGCAGATAAAACAAAGTATACTCGGGGCTACAAAAAAGATGTGTTTGAAAACCCAAGCTAAAATGACTAAAAAACCCAAACAAAACATTAAAAAAAAAAAAATGATAAATAGTTAAAAATCTACAGTAACGACAGGGACAATTTGCCAACCGTCATGTAAGTATATAATGTGGGGGAAAAAAGGATACACTAAAACAACAAAATAAACAACGCTGCCCAATTTGAACCCAAGACGTCATAAAAATATCTGGATCATGGAGGAAAAGGCACTTATTGGCAGCCCTGCTCAATAGTCAAAAGTGGCCCAATCAACTAAAAACAAATCCGGGCCGGCAACGAAACAAATAATGATTTGACCGTTACTGGAGCTACGCTGTTCGTGGTTTGTGCAATTTTATGACATAAAAACATGCTTTGAGTCAAAGACAACGTTGTGTGAAAATATGAAAGCAATCGGTTCAGTAGTTTCCGAGTCTATAGTTAACAGACTCGGAAAATTAAAATTTCCAATTATATAGATGACAGATATTTACTTTAAATCACCAGAGTCACGTAGTGAATTGTCAATTGTTCACATCTAATAAACTGAGTCAGATAAAGGCAGCTCACAGACAAGAAAGAGAGCGAACAAAACTCCCGCTTGAGGCTGAAATACAACACTCCCGCTATACGCTGAACAATCAAAATGTAAACTGAGAATTGGCTTCTCCGTTAGGGCCGTAATTAAAAGGGACAAAACTGAGAGTTTGACAGCCAGAACCTTGAGTTGATTACTTTCTTACCCAACCCTTTCCTGGAACCGACAAAAAGGAAACAACAATATAGGAGTTTGTTCTGCCCTTTCCTCCACTGAGTGAACAACAAGATGCCATTCGTGTTGATTAGAAGTCTTGGCTAGATGCCACTGGCTGCACAGTTGGGTAAACAAACTCAATAGTTTCCTCATATAACGACGAACTCACCCCCGCTCCAACCTTTTTAATTATCATTCGCCCCAATATGGGACGCAATATTTTGTTATTTAACCCCCCCCCCCCCCCCTTCTTCCGGCTGTTGTCGGGGGTCCTAATATAACGTAACGGTTGAACGGGGTTTCTGGGACTTGTTCCCCGGGTGATTCTCATCCGAATGGTGGCACTTTGTGTTACACGGTGTTTGTCGCTTGTTGTGCGGTCTTGGTGATGTTGAACGTCAATCACTCACTCACTGCCTATTCATACGTCCTTATTAGGGCGTAATTTTTTGTTATTTGAAGCCCCACTCTGGCTTTTGCCAGGAGCCGCAATATGGGCAGGTCATCATTATGGCCTAATGTCTGAACGCGGTTTCTGGGACCTCTCCACGGTGATCCTCATCCGCATGGTGGCACTTTGTGTCATCGGGTGTTTATCGCTTGTGTGATGTCCTGGTGGGGTAGAAATTCAGTCAGTCAGTCAATCACTCACTCTCCCATCCAACCTTTCCCCAAGCCATCCCCCATCCAAAGTATAGTTTAAAAAGGCAAATGCACTGACTGCGTGCAAATGTAACTGCTGACAAAGTTGATAATGTCAAATGAAAGAAAGCAAGCGAAATATCAAATAACAAAAATCAATAATTTTAGTTTATTTAATGAAACAGCTTTCCCGATGGTTATACTCCTACAAAACGATTGTAACTAATAAATGTCAATATTTGCCTTTGACAGAACGTCTGTTAAAATACAAAATATGAGGTGTTACAATATTTAAAGAACTATCTTTGTGTGTGTTTGGGCAGCCACGTAACGAGCTTCAGTGTGCCATTACAAACACACTCTTAACAGAACTATATGTGCCGTATTTTACCTACAAGGGAATGACAGACGGAGAGGAAGACGTCCGAGTGGGGACAAGTGGGATGGCGAGGGCCGAGAAGGGAGACCAGGCTTAGCAACGAATTGTAATGAAAGTGACGAGTTATTTACTGCTCTCCAAATTCTTTATTACCCAGCTTGATCGATATCGGCCGCTGTAACGGGCTGTCTCTCCTGGGCACGCCTGCTGCATTCTCTGTGGTCCTGGCTGCACCTTCGTGTGTGAAGTATCTGAAACAACTGATTACTAAGCAATGGGT